AGGATAAAATGAGATAATGTCACCTGAGCCTGCGTGGACCTCCAAATGCACACGTCTGTAGCTATACATTATAATGTTTGAAGGTGATAAAAGAGAATATTGCGGATTTAAGAAAACCCCAATATCTTGAATATTGAGGATTTAACTAAGAACACAACATAATTGTTTCAAACGATCCATATAAGTGTTACCAATTAGTTGGGTCTAACGCTAATTTGTTAGTGTTACACTTACGTTAGGTCTGGTGTTTGTTCTCGTATTTTATGGTGTAAGAATTGTTTGTTATGGAATGAAATCAACCTGAATAGAGCTAATGGATATAAAAACCTCTTGCAGCAGATTGGCCATTGATTGATATTCAATTTGTTGTTCCATCTTTTCCCACTACTTCTGCCTTGTTCGTTGAGAAATGCGTTATTCAACTCTAAAATATATTCATCACTAAGCTAACTTGAACTGTTTCCAATTTTAGTTCGAATGTCGGGAATTTAGAGAATCCATTCTTGGAGTTATGCCACATCACTGGGTGAGTGGCATCTTACTGCTCTATACTGATCGTCATTGCATTGCATGTTATTGGTGATGACACTAATGTGAATTCTTTCGGAGCAGGATCGGCGGGAGGACACCAGGTTAAAGCTGGCACACTTCAGGCGACATAAAAGGAAGGTGGTAAAGAAAGTACCTGGGAAGTCTGTCACCTACCCTTACCATAAGCCTGAGGAAAATCATCCACCTGGCAAATACACTACTAAAAGAATCTCAAATGTTATTGGAAAGGCAGTAAATTATGCAAAATCAGCAAAACCCAAAAAGGTGATGGTTTACTGTGGGTTTTTAGCAGTTCCCCTGTTCTCTTCGTCCTTGCCCTTTTTTCTCAAGACTGTCTTGTATTATGTACTGATAACTATTTGCCATTACTTTAGAAGATGTGTTTCTGATATATCCTTAGCTGTGATCTTTAATTAATAATCTTAATGGCACAATATTCCAGGATTCTACAAGTGATGTACTCGTCAGATCTCAAATTGCTTGAAGTTCTAATTTTTTTTTTAACATTAATGTAGAAAAGCTAATTTGTGAATTGGTTGTTAGAGAAAAACTCTCTTACCAAATATGCTTTAATGGCGTTATGTTTTAATTGTTTGGTAACTCTCATACTCAAGTGTCAACCTATTTTGTAGAGTGAATGATTTGGCATATCGATCGAGAGGGGAGGGAGGGAAACAAAAACTGTCTTTCTACCCCTCTTAACGTGTAACATACTTTCCTAGTATAGACTGTGATGTGATTCCATACAGATTGATATCAATGAGAGAGCTGAAATCTGGAAAGGAAATTCTGAAACAAAAACTGTCTTTCTACCCCTCTTAACATGTAACATACTTTCCTAGTATGCTTCAGTTAGCATAAAATGACTGATGTGATGCCATACAGATTGATATCAAGAAGCAGGTTTTAGGGAAGTAAAGGCATAGCTTTACTGCATCTACGAATGAGCAATTAAATCCTGGTTTTCATCTCGTTTAGACTGTAACATCTTTTCCATGGTTTTTATACTATATCACTATTCACTAACATAATCCCTGTTTTGTGATGGAAATTGCATTTCTGTAGGACCATCTAGTAGAGCAACATTTTTCTGCTGGCAGCTAATTTGAAGTTAGATCATGCATGGATAGTTAAGACCTATTCGACCATAATTGAGAATATTTTGACTATACTGCGGTCCTCAAACTATTTTAGCACTCAGTTACATTTTAAGCATTTTATTGGTGCAGCCGTTGCCCTATGTTCCTACTATCACCAATTATACCAAGCTATGGTGGGTCCCTAACGTTGTTGTGGCTCATGAGAAGGAAGGGATTGAAGCTGTTCATATAGCAACTGGTCGTACTGTGTGCAAGGTATGTACTGTCGCTATCACATATTTGGTTTAAAATACTTATGATTGATGATTCCAGTATTGCTGTGTGTATGTTAAAATATAAGGACATTGCCCAAGTAACAGAGGTCTCGAATAGTAGCTGTATGACAAATGCTAAGCATACTATTTTTTGTGCCAGAAAACCCTTTCGAGTGAACTCTGGACCCTTTTCATTCTCACTATCTCCTTGTCTGTTAGTTTGTGGTTTGATGTGAGTTTATGATTTCACCAGCTTCATCTCCTAGAAGGCGGGCTTCATGCAGATATCAATGGCGATGGAGTTTTGGACCATGTCCAGGTAAAGTATAAATTTTTGCTCTCTTTTGTCTCTCTCCATTTCCAATGTGAATTCTATAAAAAAATTGCGTACTAATATTGCGGACGGGATAAGCTCAATTAGCTTTGATATATGCGTCCTGCTTAAATGGGAGTAGTTATGGATAATGAAACAAAGAATAAAGCAGCAAATAGATTGCTCAATCAAGAGGAAAAAGATAGAACTAGCATCTGACGAAATGACCAGCTGCAGAAGATCTTTGGGACCCTAAACAACTGGCCTAAAAACTGAACTTCCACTTTAAAGCATTAAACTTTACAGTGGAGAAGTTTATTTAAAAAAGAGGATAAAAGATGTGCAGAGGATGAGATAATTCTAGAGACACTCGGTTTCTCTTGAGCTTATTTATCTTATGACTGACATGTATCTAGGATACTGGATGATAAAACTGAAAGTGGAAGGTAAGAACCCCTTCTTTTCTGAAAAGGTTAAGAGCTTTTTTAGGAGAGAAATCGACCTGTCATATTTTCAAAGATCACAGCACTGGCGGATTAGAAAGCAATGAAAGGTGCTTTAACTCTAGATGAATGATTAAGGTTAAATGTTGGTGACTTAACAGTACTGTTTTTGTAAGAAATCAATCAGCATTTTCACGCCTTTTTGTCTTCTCTTTTCTTTCCTAATTTTTTTTTTGCAGGTTGTGGGGGCCAATGGTGCTGAACAGACTGTTGTTAGTGGATCAATGGAGGTGCTGCGTCCCTGTTGGGCTGTTGCAACCTCTGGTGTTCCAGTGCGGGAACAGCTTTTCAATGCTTCTATTTGTCGTCATTCTCCTTTTAACTTATTCCAGCATGGTGAATTCTCCAGAGGGTTTGGTCACACTTTTGATGCAACTTCTCTAGAGGTAGCAACGCCTATTCTCATCCCCAGAAATGATGGTCATCGACATCGTAAGGGAAGCCATGGAGATGTTATATTCTTGACAAATCGTGGCGAGGTATCCTTTTAACTTGGAACAAGTGTTTAGTTGTAACAGTAACACGCAATAGTTTCTTCACACTGAGTAGTTCGAATTCTGATAGAAATGATTTCTCATGCCATGGACATGCTTAATGTCTTATCTTCCATGAGATGTTGGGCACATTCATTTTATTCAATAATTTGAAAATGGATTACTTGTCAGGTAACATCATATTCTCCGGGCTTGCATGGACATGGTGCTCTGTGGAATTGGCAGATATTGACTGGTGCTACATGGTCAAACCTTCCATCGCCTGCGGGAATGATGGAAGCTGGCACAGTGGTGCCGACTCTAAAGGCATTTCCACTGCGTGTGCACGACAGTCAAGAATTGATCCTTGCAGCAGGAGACCAAGAAGCTGTAGTATTATCTCCTGGAGGGAGTCTGTTGACTACTATCGACCTCCCTGCACCTCCCACTCATGCCTTGGTGTCTGAAGACTTCTCAAATGATGGATTAACTGATCTTATCCTTGTTACTTCAAGTGGAGTTTATGGTTTTGTTCAAACTAGGCAACCTGGTGCACTCTTCTTTAGCACACTTGTAGGCTGCCTTATAATTGTGATGGGAGTGCTCTTTGTCTCACAGTATCTAAATTCTACAAAGGGAAAACCTAGGGCAACTTCTGGTCAGTGGTGACAAGTGAGGCATACTGATAGATTATAGAGTAGTGTAAGCCACAAGATCCCAGACTTAGTGCAGAAAAAGAACTACCGTGGGATTTCAGCCATATGCATCAGGAAGGGCTTCGGTTTGTGCGAATGGACCAGCTTGCAGAGAAAAAGATAGGGAACACTGTAAACTTTTAGAGAGCTCTTTTTATTCTTAGTCCTAATTCTCCTATACGATTGAGTTGTATATTACTGCAACACTTGTTGCATATGAGCTATGCCTGTATTTGGGGTTAGATTAAGGTAAGTTTTTCTGTCAACATTTCATCCTTGATGTCGTTTTTACTACTCCCCAAATGCTACAAGATTCTCAAGGTGTACTATAGCATGTTGCTCAAATTAGTGCAGTTTTGTATTCGTCGGCTGTTTTCATAGCTACATCTTTCCCAGGTCTAGCTAGATATCCCCTCGCCCCCACCCACCACAATAAAAAAAGAAGATATATTGTGCACTTGCTATAGCTGAGATGGAAACGCAACGGGAGAAGCTAAGGGAAGTCTTGCCACCATCCAAACGTATATGGTAGTAGTTTTGGTACAGTAAGTTGATTGATAGCAATATAGTTCCATTGCCTAACGTAGGCCTATGAACAGAGACTCCTGTGTGGGTTTTAGGTCGAAGTTAGCTCAGTTTGGTGCCCAGCTATCCCCTTCTGCTACTAAGAAAAAGGAACTTGGGATTGCCAATTGTTGCTGTCTCATCATACATCCCTGGTAGCCAAACAAATGATCAGTAAGTAAATAAGTGAATAAATAAATAAAACTAATCTAAAGGTTAGGGGACCTTGAAGTGGTTTATAATTTACTTCACGAGCCTTCATTGCAAGTCTAGTGAATTACTTACCTTATTTTGTTTGTCCAATTTGAAAGGACAGATAGTTCAATTATTTTTTGGTTAAATTTCTCAAAACATCCTTCTGTGCTCTGTGTAGTTGGCCTAGCTTACATAACTATAGAAATTTGTGGAGTAGGTTCAACCTCTTTGTTTTATGAAGATGATGTAAATGCAATGGGTAGAGTTGAAAAATCCGCTATTGGTATATAATCTACTGTTAGTAACTGTTAGCGGAGCGATACTATATTATTTCTTCACTAGCTTATTGGAAAAATCTCTTTACAAAATTCGGAATAACATACCATCCAGTGATTGATAATGTAAACATGCATAACTAGTAACTATAGTATGGAATATAATTAAAAATCACTCCAGAGTAATCTAAACTTTCGGTTAGATTAAAAACTTTCTATATTCGCGATAATGTGAATTCAGAGATTTCCAAACTCATTCTCTGTTCCTTCCATTGGCAAAATAGCTTATGGATTCAACAAGATCCTTATGAATAACACCACACCAGTAGATTCGTCTCTTATACAGAACAAGAATGGATGGTCAGCAACAAAATATATTTCCTGCTCAATTGTGCAGCACATCATTTGATACCCTCCAAAAGTAACTGCTGAAGCTTCAGTTCCTTCCTCATTTATCTCAATAAAGGACTTGTGCAAAACCTCTGAAACAAACAATTCCGAGGAATCATCAGTCGGACTACCAGCACAGAAAGGCAATTTAAGGCCAAGTCCCTTTAGAAAGTCAAAAATTATTCTGAATTTTGGGATAAGAAATTTGTTTATAAGGTAACCTCAACACCATTGAGGAGAAGGAATTCACGGTCTTTCGTTTTTGAAGCATTGAACTTCTCCTTTAAAATATACTCTAGTGCATTGGCCAACATGAGCCTTGTCATATTGTTTACTGAGCCATGAGGAAGAATCTCTTCGATGACATCATTTGTCTTCTTTTTAGCCCCATCTATTGAATTGATTGGCAACCTCAGCAGCCTTAATTATGTCAAACACAGAATGATAAGCGGTCGTTTGGTGCGTGGACAAAATATTATCAGGATTATCTAATTTATACCAACAAAGGATGGAATAATATAATCCCACAATTGATGGTATAAAGTGGGATAAGAAGGGATAAGTGGGAGAAGATTTGGGATTATGTTTATACTTCGTTTGGTTAGAGGTACAAATTTATCTCAAGATAAATTTACACCTCCAACCAAACAAGGTACAAATTTAATCCCATTTCTTATCCCACCTAATACCTCATACCAAACGACCACTAAGGGGTCGTTTGGTTAGAATAAGATTTATACCGGTATAAGTTATATTGGGATAAATGATGCTGAGATTAGTTATGTTGGGATTGTTATTTATTCATTGTTTGGTTGTTGTATTAAGAATGACAATTGCATAATTTCTAACAAAAAAGGTATAGGTTATACGGTGCTAATTACCCCATCTTATAAAGTATAAGTTATCCCGGTGTTAAAATTAACACCGGGGTAACTTATACCTAGTTTGCTAACCAAACAAGGTATTAAAGTGGTATTAAATTTTTATACCACTCTTATATTCAATCACAAAAATTTAAAAACAGCTCCAAATTATATTCATATCCAAATAGAACTCTAACTTTCAAATAATATTTTTCCTAGAAAAAAAATCATTTTTTTTTCGTATTTCACAATTTTTATGTCCAAATGCCCACTTAAAATAGGATTTTTCAGTTCAACAATTAATAAAGGCCTATATATATACCTTGTGCCAAAAAATAACAGACTCTGAAGTAGCTTTGTAAACTTCACTAGGGATGGTAATGGGGCGGGGCGGGTTCAACTTAAACCCGCAATGACTCAATCTGCCCCGCCCCGCATAAGTTTTTTTTCCTTCTATTTATCCTTTTTCATTTCTATTGATTAGTAACTTGTTTTAATGACCCAGTTATCTATTTTTCACTTAACATGTTGCACCAAAAGTTATTCTATTTATAAAATAATTTAGGACTAAATTTTCTATGATATTTATAAAATTTCACTTATTGATTAATCTATAAGGTAAAACTTTTACAATTTGACAACTAAACTTTATGATCTGTAAAATATTAGCACATCCGGATGGAAAAAATATACAACATCCCAAATAGATAAACGGGCAGTTGTAGTTATAAATAAGGTATTATAATATTGAAATAAGATTATGATTTCAATAAATTATTAAGGTTAGTGTTGATACACTATGAACTAATAGTAACAAATGATTAACATAATTTATAAGCTGCTGAACTTTCAAGAATGTTATTACTCCTAATTAAAAAATATTACTAAAAATTTAGAATCAAACACATAATCTGGTAAATGTGTTCCGGCAAAAAAAAAAAAAAAAAAAAAAAAAAAAAAAACAAAACAGGAAAAGCAACGATATGATTTTCCTACAGAATATGGTTCCATATGTATTTGAAGATTGTGATTAAACAATGAAATTAACTTCCAGTGTTAGCCTAAAGGCGTAAAGGCCCAAGACTGGATAAAGGCAATGGACCCGCAACCCGCCCCGCCCCGCATTGAGTTTCATTTTTTATATTAAAATCCGCCCCGCACCTGCATAAGCTTCAACCCGCCCCGCACCCACATAGGTTTAAACCCGCCTCGCCCCATTGCCATTCCTAATTACTTCACGCACAACTTCCTCAAGAGAAGGCTTAAAAGTGAGTGATTTGTCGACCCAAACACCATTAGCAACACACAAAAGCTGACCTCCATTGGGACTGCCATCAACAAAGGTAGAACTGAGAACATGAGCATAAAGAGAGTTGAGTTCATTAATGGAGTTGGGCTTGAGGAAACGGAGCAGCTGATCCTGAGTAGGTCCTTTGGAGCCGGCAGCGATGAGGCCAAGAAATATTTGAATTGTGAGAGGAGAGAACGCCATGTTTCTATCGCCTTTAACCTTTTTGGAGAAAACGTCTTTAGTCAGCTTGAAAGAAACGTTGGTCTGCTTGCTGATTGACTCCCGAAGATCATCCAAATCTGAAGAAGATGATAAGTTATACACTAGTTTTGTGTAAAATTGGATTGCCAACATAAAGTGAAGTGAGTATTTATTTTGATAAGGAGGTACATATTATTTAACTGACGCGGTTATAGAATTTTTAGTAGACGAGTACACTACAAAAAAATATATATTAAGTGATGATTGGATCCTATTCCTCCTATTAAATAACTCAACCTTCAACCAAGTGCATCATTCAACTTTCTTGGAGCATTGATGCCATCATGCCAACAGTTAATATTAAACCAATTTAAAAAAATATGTCATAAAATACCGAATTTTGCGGAGAATATGGGTTCACGTGCCCCATAATATATGTTGTCCAATCTGTATTGCTGTAAAATTAATAAAACAATAAACTTTCTGAAAAACAGAAACAAAAAGAAGTAGAACTAGAACGTCAAAATAAATTTTGAAAACAATATAGTAACTTCAAAATAAATTCTGAAAATAGTATAGGAATAAATCGAGCCCACTGAATACACAGTGTGTCCTTAAGGAAATTATTCCCCTCAAGTACCCGAGGTTGTGGAATATATCCTCCCCAGGATAGAACGATTTAACTTACCAGAGTGTTGGTACCAAAAACGCCGATGATCAGCGAACAACTCGAAGGTTGTAAAACACACTGGAATTTTTATGTGCAGAAGAAGAAGAAGATAATCAAAAAATTTCGTAAGTAAATATTTTGAGATTTGAAAGAATATTTATAGTCAATTTGGTACTGATTCTGAAAAGCTTTGCAACCTTTCAGAACAGCCATAGCTGTTGGAACAAGTTTGACATTGTTTCAAAACAACCATAGCTGTTGGAAATATTGCAGGGAAATTAAACGAATTTAGAATAATCTGGGAAAGAAAATGGACCGGACCGGATCGCGGGTCATGGGTGTATATATAGATTCAAATATTTGAAAAGAATTTTGTCCAAAAAGATTAATCAATCAATCTTTGACCAAACCCGAACCCGAACCCGAGCCGAGCGAGCGATGACGACGACGGCGCGAGGCTTGCCTTCTTCTTAACTCTTTAAGAGCTAAAAGATGGGCTTCTCTATATATACACAAAGATTTTCTTTCCTTCTATCAATGATGGACAAAGTGCATTAGTAAAGTGAACTCATTCAAAAATTTTACTTCCCTCCATTTCCCCCCCACCATTTTCCATTAACACCTCTTTTGTTATTAATAACAAAATCCAACAATCCCCCACATGAATGGGGAATGACTATAAACTTAAAGGAATGCACGGACATGTGTGTGTGTGTGTTTTATATGCAAGAATTAATTGCATCTGGATAAGTAGGTTTCCCTTTAAACTTTCCGTAGTGAACTTATATCGGATATACTCGGTCAATTGGTAGATTTGATATCTTTGAACCGTCGAGCTTTGTTGTATACCTAGACAACATAAGTCACACAATCAATCCTTAACCATCTATGGTTCTCACGGTTGTGTTCGTTTCAGCCATGAACACCGCCTGATTTCATGAGTGCTTAGAGAATAGGCCTTTACTTTCATTCCCCTTAAAGTAGCTTACACTTCACACTCACATAGGTGATTCCTAAACGTGTAATCCTAAAGACACACTATCTGGTCATATCCTGCCAGACTTAGCAAATCATTAAAAAGCTTTAAGCTTTATTGACTCATCAAAAAGCCTTAATGCTTTACCTCGTTCTTGAACATTCTCTTCATCACAAGAATGGGTTGAGTTATTTGACAATGTTGAACCGTCATTCATAACTTTGTTTGATCTCTTTGAACCTAGCTCTTGGGATCTCCAGTCTGCTAGGTAGAGTTACCGCCATGATGATTTGTCCTAGGCCTTTAATCCCATTCCCTTTGATGATCTTTCAACTGCCTCTCTAGATAGTCCTTTTGTAAGTGGATCTGACACGTAATCTCTTGACTTTACGTAGTCAATTGTGATAATACCACTAGAGAGTAGTTGTCTAACGGTATTGTGTCTCCGTCGAATATGATGAGATTTTTCGTTATACATAATGCTCCCTGCCCTACCTATTGTCGCTTGACTATCACAATGTATACAAATAAGTGCCAAAGGTTTGGGCCAAAATGGAATATCTTTCAAGAAATTCCGGAGCCATTCAACTTCTTCACCGGTCTTATCTAAAGCTATGAATTCAGATTCCGTTGTAGAACGGATGATGCACGTTTGTTTGGATGATTTCCAAGACACTGCTCCACCCCCAATTGTGAAGACATTCCACTCGTGGATTTAACTTCAGATGATCCGATGATCCAATTTGTATCACTATATCCCTCGATCACGGAAGGATATTTGTTATAATGCAAAGCATAATTTTGGGTATGTTTTAGATATCCCAAAACTCGTTTCATTGTCATCCAATGTATTTGATTGAGATTACTTGCAAGACGACTCAGTTTGCTAATAGCACATGCTATATCTGGTCGTGTACAATTCATGATATACATCAAACTTCCCAATACTCTTGCATAGTCCAGTTGTGAGTCACTTTCATGTTAATTCTTTTGAAGTGCATAACTCACGTCAATTAGAGTCTTGGCAATTTTGAAATCTAAATACTTGAACTTGTCAAGTACCTTTTCAGTGTAGTAAGACTGTGATAATGCTAGACCTTGTGGAGTGTTGTGAATTCTGATTCCTAAGATCACATCAGCAACTCCTAAGTCTTTTATGTCGAATTTGCTAGCCAACATGTGTTTTGTAGTATTTATATCTGTCATACTTTTGCTCATTATCAACATGTCATCAACATATAAACAAACAATGACTTTATGATCTGGAGTGTTTTTAATAAAAACACATTTGTCACACTCGATGATTTTAAATCCATTTGCCAACATTGTTTGGTCAAATTTTGCATGCCATTATTTGGGTGCTTATTTAAGTCCATAAAGCGACTTAACAAGTTTGCACATTTTTTTTTCTTTACCATGAACCACAAAACCCTCAGGTTGTCCCAGGTAAATCTCTTCCTCCAATTTTCCATTTAAGAAAGCTGTTTTAACATCCAATTTGATGGATTTCAAAACCATACACGGCCGCTAGTGCCACTAACACCCTAATAGATGTTATCCTTGTTACTGGCGAGTAAGTGTCAAAGTAATCAAGACCTTCCTTTTATCTATAACCTTTGACAACAAGTCTTGCCTTATATTTGTCAATACTGCCATCAGCTTTAATTTTTCGTTTAAAGATCCATTTCGAACCTAAAGGCTTATTTCCCGGAGGAAAATCAACCAATTCCCATGTATGATTATCCAAAATTGATTTAATCTCACTATTTACTGCCTCTTTCCAAAATGCTGAATCAGAAGATGACATAGCTGCTTTAAAAGTTTGTGGTTCATTTTCAAGCAAAAATGTCACAAAATCTGGTCCAAAGGAAGTAAATGTTCTTTGACATTTACTACACCTTGGATCTTCTATACTTGGAGTATTTTCCTTTGGTTCTTCTCGAGGTCATTTAGGTCTTTCACTTAACGACTCGCATTCAGTTTTATACGGATAGATGCTTTCAAAGAATTCAACATTATCCGATTCCATTATCGTATTAACATGAATCTCGGGATTATCGGATTTATGAACCAAAAATCGACATGCTTTACTCTTTGTAGCATGTCCAATGAAAATGCAATCTACTGTTTTTGGTCCGAATTTAACCCTTTTAGGTAAAAGAACTTGTACCTTTGCTAGACACCCCCACATTTTGAAATATTTCAAGTTGGGTTTTCTTCCTTTCCATTTTTCATATGGAATAGATTGTGTTTTGCTGTGGGGTAATCTGTTGAGTATTCGGTTAGCTGTAAGGATAGCTTCCCTCCACAAACTCTGCGGTAATCCGGAACTTATTAATAAAGAATTCATCCTTTTTTTTTAAAGTCCGATTTTTCCTTTCCGCAATTTCGTTGGATTGAGGTGTGTAAGGTGTAGTAGTTTGATGGATAATTCCATATTCCGAACATATTTCTGCAAACGGAGATTCATATTCTCCACCTCTATCACTTCTAATAATTTTGATCTTTTTATTCAATTGATTCTCTACTTCATTCTTGTATTGCTTAAATGCTTCAATTGCTTCATCCTTACTATTAAGCAAATAAACATAGCAATATCGAGTGCAATCGTCAATAAAGGTAATAAAATACTTTTTCCCACCTCGAGATGGTGTCGACTTCATATCATAAATGTCAGTATGAATTAAGTCTAAAGGATTTGAATTCCTTTCAACAGACTTATAAGGATGTTTTACAAACTTAGATTCGACACATATTTGACATTTCGATTTATTACACTCAAATTTAGGCAATACTTCTAAATTAATTAACTTCCGCAAGGTTTTATAATTGACATGTCCTAAACGAATATGCCATAAATTATTTGACTCCAATAAATAAGAAGAAGCTAAAATTTTATTCATACTGTTAACAACCATTACATTGAGTTTGAAAAGGCCCCCCGTGAGTTAGCCTTTTCCAACATACATTTCATTCTTGCTTACAACAACTTCATCAGAAACAAATACACATTTGAATCCATTCTTTACAAGTAAAGAAGTAGAAACTAAATTCTTCCTAATAGTAGGAACATGAAGAATGTTGTTGAGCGTTAACACCTTGCCGGAAGTCATCTTCAGGAATATCTTCCCATAACCTTCAATCTTGGCTGTTGCATTATTTCCCATGGAAATCTTTTCTTCAGGACCAGCAGTAGAGTAAGTCGCAAATGCTTCTTTGACATCACAAACATGTCGAGTGGCTCCAGAGTCAATCCACCACTCCTTTGTATTTCCAGCTAGGTTGCATTCCAAAAGCATTGCACAAAGATCATCAATGTCATCATTCTTCTCCACTATGTTGGCTTGTCCCTTCTTCTTATCCTTTTTTGGGAGACGACAATCAGGGCTTTTGTGACCAACTTTTCCACAATTGTAGCAGTTGCCCTTGAATTTCTTTTTGTTCTGCTCCTTAGTCTGTCCAGAAAACCTCTTCCTCTTCTTACTTTTTGGAGCAGTCTCCTCAACGATATTAGCTCCCATGATCGTTGAATTTCCA